TGCCCACGGTTTTTCTACAGCATGTCACTTGGAACATTTTGGCCAGTAATAGCCCTGCTCAGAAAGGAGCACCTTTCGATTCTAACTCTTGAAAGATTTATTGCCATAAATTTGTTAGCCTTTAAGGTATCCCCTTTGTTCTGTTTTGAAGTGCCAGTGAAAAAAAAGACCGTGCTTTCAGAAATGCACACCTTTCCTAACCAACTCTGGTTGAAAGTTTTATCTGTAATTGGGGCCTGAAAAGTTATTTTTGCTCCCTGTTCCAAAGAGGGTTAAAAGTTTCACGAAAACAAAGAGAAGGAATGTATTCTTGGGAGCTGACAGGGAGAGAAAGGACGCACGCTTTTCCCTTTTTTTCCAGCACCAAAATTGCTCAGTCATGCTGTCGCTCCGTGATTTTCATTCAAAAAGGTTTATAGAGCCATATGGGGAAAGTGTTCACAAAGAATTTTACTTTTATTTTTTTGGAAGCAAACTGGAAAAGAAATACGCTTTTATTTCCCATCGGCAAAATAGGGCTACAGAGGAAAAAATGTTCAATATAAGACATGTGACCAAAGCACCTCCAGAATGCCAGCTCTCCCTTTCGCTTCAAAGCAGCGGCTCTCGGCAACTGGCACATTTCTCCGCGCGCTTGGCCAAAGCCCAGGGGCAGCAGGGTGCGCTGAAGGAGGAAGGCCGGGAGGCCCAGGCTGAAGTGCCCGAAGGTGTGGGCAGAATGAACGCGCCCCAGCGACCATCGGCCTGGGATGGAGGCCCCCGCGCAAAGACCGGTCTCCTCACATGTCCTCGGCGAGAATGCTCCACAACCCACCTCCAGGCGAAGCGAGGAGGCACCGGAGTGCACCAAGAGATGCTCCAACACTCGCAATCGCTTCCTTTACAAAGGAGTCCCCCAAATGAAGACGTGTTTTCTAGCCCGCCTTCCCTGCTGAACGTAGCCATGAAGTTGTTTGCCACAGGCAGCAGCTGGGAAGAAAATACCGTTCCCCCTCCTCTGCACTGGAGCTTTTCCCAAACTGGTTCTCACTCACCCTGGCAGAGCTTGCTGCCATTTTCAAGCCACGTGTCGAGAGCAGCCTGCCATTTACAAAGACCCAACTCAGCCCTTCCCAAGCTGGTGGCCTCCCGAGATGCTGGGGCAACAACGCGCAGCCAGCAACGACTGGCTGGGGATGCGGACGGGGACTGTGATCCCAGCCTCCCTGGGAGGCGATCCAACTCCCACGGGTCCACCTGTCACGGGGGCGGCACAAGACTCGACCTTGATTTTGCTGCCACAGAGGGGAAAGGCTGCCCTCTGGAAATGCTTTCCCTCCAAGACTGCCTGACCCAAGGGCAGTTCAGCCGGCACGCCTGGCCCAGCCCTGCACATGCCTGGTGCTGAAAAGAGCATTACTGGGGGCGGGGGGGGGGGGGGGGCTCTCCCAGCCTGGAGGCACTTGGAGAGTTGTGTCGTTCTGTGATGCTCCATCATGGAAGCAGCACCCTGACCCCTGCGGGCATCTTGGCCTGGACGCCTGGAGGCAGGTGGGCACAGCCCAGGCAGAGGCAGGCTGGGTGCAGCCCAGGGGCTGGGCCAGAGCCAGCAGCTGCGTGGGGTCGAGGGGCACCCACCGGGGCCGTGCCTCTGCCGAGCTGGGCAGCTGCAGCGTCCCCACAGCCGGCCTTCGCGGTGGCCCCAAGACACAGCAGCCAGGTGACCCTGGGAGCCAGGGGCCACGACCTCGTGTCCCAGGCCCCACTTGCAGACACCTGGATGCCGTCCACCGGAAGCACTGCCACTGGGAGAAGAATCACCTGCACAGCCCTTTCAAGGGCCTGGCGTTCCACGTGTGGCCAGGGACGCGAGGGGGGCCTTCCCAGCCCCGTGGCTTCTGTGTGCCCAGCTACCGCTACAGGCTGGCAGTGGTGACTACAGGATACATCAGCCTGGGGAACTTGCCCAAGGTAACTCAGAGAGTTCACAGCACAGCTGAGAACAAGCCGGGGACACCTTCACTCTGAGCTCTGCCCCTGTCGCCTGGCGCTTCCGGCCCCCGAAGAACTTGTGAGGCCCTGTGCCCGAGGAATGTCCTTCGCGGGGCTAGCACAGGCCTCACCTGTCCTTCCCACTGCTGCCCACCCCTTGGAATGATCTCATCGGCTACCCCTGGACAAAGACCGAGGAGTTGCACGTATGCAGGCCAGGGTGCAGCCGCAGCGAGCCTCGTCGTCCGTCCCCGGTAATCCTGCCCACTGGAGAAAGATAAATAACCAGCATTATAATCTTACGGAGAGCTGTGCAACTCAAAATTCCACCACAGGAGATGGGAATATCCAATTACACTACAATCCCGGTCACAAAGTGTGCGTTATTTTCTTCAAGGTCGAAACCCACTTTTTCTTCTGTAACTATGCAGAGCAAAGACACTGTAAAAACGAATCCGCCCCCTTCCCTGTGGAAGCTAGGAGCGACAATCAGTTTGTGAAGTTTATTAAAGAGGGCGCAAGAGAGAATCAGGCCTGGTCTGGTCAAGAAGTTACTTTTGAGCCAAAAGCACAACAGTTTCATGGTCGGAGTCCAAATGCACATGCCTGGAGTTCGGTGGTCAGACACGAGCTCCATTAACTGGAGTTCCACATCTGAGTCCGACGCCAAGATAGGACAAGCCCCACCCAAAAACCACGTGCTCTTTCCTGAGAAGCAGGGCCAGAAAAATATCTCAGATTCCTGCATGTCAGAACCAAATGCTTTTTCAACACTTCCTCCCCACTCTCTGAATTGGCAAGAGGGCTTTCTTGAACAAAGGGGAACCGAAGGAAGGCCGGGTTCCAGTGCTGCCGTGCACCCCCTTGGGAGCCCGGGAGAGCTACGTGGGCAGATGCTGGGGGGCCCACCTGGAGGGCGCGGCTTTCCTTGTCCTCCCAGACGGGCCCCGTGCTCCAGCGAGATGTTTTGCATCAACAGCTGAAGCGTCTGCAAAGAAGCCCCCTGGTCAGCAAGCCAACGCTGGCTCCCAAGAGCAGCAAGCTGTGACAAGGCGGTTTACTGCCATGTTCCGTCCTGCTCCCCAGGCACAGACCAGCAGCAAAATGCGTGCATGCGTCCCATGGGAAATTTACCCTCAACAAACCGCAGCGGCCCTGGGAAAGCCGATGACCAGGGGTGCAAATCTAGCCTTTACTGCCACCAGAGAAGCCGGTGCAACGGACACTTCCGTCAGGACCCCCTCGCCACCAACGGCCCTTCGGCTCCAGCTGCCCTACTTCACCTGTGCTTACTCAGCAGCTGCCTTCAGCTTTTCCAGATACATCTGCAGTGTGGCGCCATGGCTGGAGTGTTGGAAGGGGGCTCAGGAGGCCTGGGGTCCACCAGCCCCCACTGGGCAACTTGGGCAGTCCCAAACTCTCAGCTTAAGCGACCTCACGGGGCCACTGTGAGGACAGGAGGAGGCCAGAACCTTGTACACTGCTCGGGTTCCTTGCAAGCGGAAGAGGCGGGGTATGAATGCAATCTTGGGACAACCGCTTGCTGCGTCATGAAAACAGCAAGGAGACCTGTACTTTCTGAATTTGGGAACCAGAGCGAGCTGTGTCACTGGATCAAGATCAAATTTCACACGTGCGCACCCGATGAAATGCCTTTTCCCAAAAGTAGGAAGGAGAGCTTCTCTTTCCAGCCCTGCAGGGACAGCCACGGCCAACAACCAAGGCAGTGAACACTTGATTATCAAGGGCTCCTGTGGGCAAACAAAGCCCTGCGAAACAGGTTTCTGTTTTGTTTTGTGTTTTTCCCAAGCTGTCTCCAGTGTTAAGAGTAACTTACAACAGAAACAATGTGTGTGCCATGGAATATGAATATGAAGTATTAAATAATAGCAACAGGTATCTTAATAGTTTCAGGGAGACAACCACCAAGTGCCACAGGCTCCATGCAAAGTGAAAAACTAGGTCATTCGTACTTTAAAATATGAGCTGGCAAGGTTCCTCGAGATATTTTCCATAATTTTTGGATAAGCGGTTGTTCAGATAAATGGAAATGTCAACCCAAAGTTGCAGCTGCACCTGCCACCTGTGCAGTCACACCTGATTATGCAACACAAGCAAGTCGAACAGCAAAGGGATCCCTAGCGCTGCCGTAATCAGTTTTCAGAAGCTGCCTTAAATGCATTGAGCTGCAAATGCCTTTTTCCTCCTGCCTCTCGATAAACACAGGTTAGCTGATGCACTTCAGCAGCGCCACAGCTGCTGTCCACACGGCGAACGGAAGTGATTTTAAACCAGTTTAACTTCCCACAGGGAACTCTGAGCGCCACACTGTAGTAAAGGTGCTGAGGTCCATCTTACATGATCCCGAGCCCTACGCAGAAGGGCGGCTCAAAAACTGTTTGTGGGGGGCTAAGACTCCCCTCCCCACTAAGCTGCCTTGCACTATTCTACTGTCTTTTTGGCACCAAGTTCAGGCCTTCCTCTTTGATGTGGGATTTAACCAGCTTCAACCCGGTACGTCAGGGTATTGTGTCAGCTGTCAAACAGGTCCTGCGATTCAATGTGTGCTTGTGTTCTGCATTTGGTCTTAACGTTGGCTTTTAAATTTTGTAGTGTAATTTTGTAATGTTTTTATTTCTCTTTAATGCTATGTATTTTATGTGCTGCTTTAAACTGCCCGAAGAGCTTCAGCTAGTGGAAGGTATAGACATAAAATTAATAATATTAATACTAGTAGTAATAAAAACAACAGTTAAGTCGTTTTAAGTCTGTGGTTCAAACATGTCTGGATTCTCATTTTTACTCCAATACAAGCATGACCATGATCAACCTTTTCATACAATCCTGAGGTGAGAAGCCCTTGCACCAGCCCAGCTTGAGATACAGGACCGCCTCCTCTTTGCTTCTTATTTTCAAAATCAGTACTTTTGGCTCCCTAAACTGCTTTTCTGGAAATTCTCACTAAACCCAAGTTCGAGGAAGCTGCCAAAAGGGTCATTTGGATGCAACAAATTAACATGTCTGCCAACCTGAGAATTCTCCAGGGGTGATATTGGGTGAGTTCGTAGCCTCCGTTTCAGTGTAGGACAACATGGAATCTGACAGATCTGGGAAATGAGAAGATGAGAAAGTTCAGACGTGATGCCCCAGTGCAAAGCCAACTCCTCACCCGACTCGACAGCACGAGCTGCCCCCCAAGTCTCCACTCCCCCTAGCCTCATCCCTCCCCGAGCTCAAGTCTCCTCCCTTGGCTAGAAGACACGGCTCCCTCTGCAGGAGGACCCCCTCCCGATGACCCAACCATCCGCTCATGAGCAGGTTCTCCCAGAAGGCAGGGAGCCCATCCAGTGGCCAGGGAAACAGCGACCAGGAAGGAGGAGTGCCCATCAGTGGCAGCAACTGGGGGTCAAGGCCCAGAAGAGCGCCCTCAGTGGGGCTCCCTGGTTCTGCCACCGTGCTTTCTCCAGGGCTAGGGAATCGGATCCGGGCCGGGCAGCCAATGCCTCCCAGATGTTGATGACTACAACCCCCAGAACTCCCGACAAGCATGGCCGACAGCTGGGATTGTGCGAGTCATCATCTGAAAGGCCTGGAGGGATGCGCAGTCTGGGGAGAGGTGGCAGGAAAGTACATGCACCCTCCCTGGGTGGAAGCAGGTGCCCAGAGGAGGAGGGCAGTGAAGGGTGGAAAGCTTTGAAGGACCCCTGTTGCCAACGCCTTCATTCCCAGGAATCATTTTCCTGCAGTGGGATCCGCTTCCTCCTTCTCAGAAAGGCAAGAGCACGGGATGGCCCTGCGCCGCACTTCCGAGACTCGGTTGAGCTGTGTCCTCTTCGGGGGGAACGGTGAGGGATCTGTATTTCCCCCACGTCCCAACTCTACCTGTGTGGTGGAGTGGCCAGAGGGAAGTCCCAGGTTCAAGTCCCCACTCAGCCCTGAAACTCCCTGAGAGATGCACAGCTTCCCAGCCTCACCTCCCTCAGAGAGTTGGGATAGAAATATAACTAATCCATCCTCAATTAGTTAAAACATCTTAAGTACAATATGGCCATAGAAAGCCACCTTATCCTTGGCCCATTCAGCCCTGTACTGCAGACACTGATGGCAGCAAGCCTTCCTGGGCAGGGGGAAGTCCTTCCCATCACCCAACCAGAGATACCCAGAATTGGACCCGCCGCTAAGGACCATCCCCTTCATGGATCACTGCCCTGCCGTGGCGAAGGAGCTTGTGTAGAGCAACGAAGCTGTGAGCCATGCCGTGCAGGGCCACCCGAGACGGTCAGGTCATAGCAGAGAGCTCTGACAAAACGTGATCCACTGGAGAAGGAAATGGCAACCCACTCCAGTATCTTTGCCATGAAAACCCCATGGACAGTACCAAAAGGCAAAAAGATATGACGCTGGAAGATGAGCCCCTCAGGTCGGAAGGTGTCAATGTGCTACTGGGGAAGAGCAGAGGGCTAGTACTAGCAGCGCCAGAAAGAATGAAGCGACTGGGTCAAAGCCGAAAGGACACTCCGTTGCGGATGTATCTGATGGTGAAAGAAGAGTCCGATGCTGCAAAGATCTACACTCCATAGGAACCTGGAATGTAAGATCCATGAATCAAGGCAAGCTGGATGTGGGCAAACAAGAGATGACAAGACTGAACATCGACATCTTAGGGATCAGTGAACTGAAACGGACAGGAATGGGTGAATTTAATTCAGATAACCATCAGATATGCTACTGCGGGCAAGAATCCCTCAGAAGAAATGGAGTAGCTTCATAGTCAGTAAAAGAGCAGGAAAAGCAGTACTGGGATACAATCGCCAAAATGACAGAATGATCTCAGTTCGAATCCAAGGCAAACCACTCAACATCACAGTAGTCCAAGTCTATGCCCCAACCACTGGTGCTGAAGAGGCTGAAGTTGACCAGTTCTATGAGGGCCTACAACACCTTCTAGAATTAACTCCAAAAAATGATGTCCTTATCATCATGGGGATTGGAATGCTAAAG